GTCCAGCACCTCCTGTTGCATCAGTGCCAAAACTCCATTCCCCAAGGGCACAACAGCAGCCAGTCTCCGGGTCACTCCGTGTGAAGCTGGGTCTCGTGCCTGGAGGTCACAAACCTTGGTTTTGAACCAAACCTTGCCATTATGAACCCACACGTCATGGTCCACTACGGTCACTGTGCCAGGAGTACTTACACTTAGCCTGGTTTTCAAGCAGCTTGGAAATGTTTCTGCCCGTGCAAATTGAATTTCGCTGCTTTTTGCTCCCACAAATTTAATCTCCACAGCTCTCTAACTGGATTTCAGTGGGTCTCTCAGGCTCCAGGATGGCTCGGTTTGGCCAACTGCACACCATGGGACAGGGAGGACTGTACTTCCCCACCACATACATGATCTAATGAACACATCGATGCCTGGCTGAAGCGGATCTTGTGTGCAAAGGACCAGGTTCCTGTGTGAGACTTCCCATCCCCTCCTGAAGCTTCTGCACGCAGCTCGCCTGCATCTTCAGGACAGCCCCATTGCTGCCAGGCTGCATCCCACACAGAGGCCTGAAATTCAGCCCTGGAGCAGTGGGAGGGGTTGTAGGCCCGCAGCAGAACTCCAGGACCCCGCAGATGGGGGCCGGGGCGGGTGTGAAGGCGGCGGACGGGTGGGGCTCCCCGCCGCAGTTTCGGGATCGGCCCGTGTGTGGGAAGCAGCAGTTTACCGGACTGAAATCAACTTTTGCTTTCTCCTAGGGCACGCACAGCTGCCTCTCCCCTGTGCCAAAGGAGCTGGAGCAGCCTCTGGAGTGGGCAAGCCGGGACGCAGATGGGGCGATCTGCACCGGAGAGGCAGCGAGGCCGCCCGGAAGGGAGCTCAGCATGCCCAGAGGGAGCACAGCACCGGGGACACCGCGGGAGCTGAATGCCCGTGCCCAGCCCGCGCCGCCACCTCCCCGCTCCCCGCCAAGGCCGCGATGCCCCGGGCGGGACCGCCCCGGCCGAGCCCCGGGGCGGCACCAGCGGGGCCCGCAGACCGGGCCTGCCTCCCCACCAGCTCCGGTGCCCGGCGCCGCTCACCTTCGCGGGCCTTGAGCAGGACGGTGTTGGCGACGATGTTCTCCAGCTCCATGGGCCCGCGGGCGCCGCCGCCTCCCGCCGGCTCCGCTCCCCGCGCTCGGCCCGCGCCCGCCGCCCCCCGCCGCCCCCCGCCGCCGCCGCGCCCCGCCCCCCGCGCCCCTTCCGGCCAATGCCTGCCCTCGCTCCTCCCGCGCCGCGCTCCCATTGGGCCGTCCCCTCAGGAAGCCCCCGCCCCCTCCGGAGCGCCACCGCCCTCCCGTTGGGCTCCCGAGGTGCGGCGGGTGGGGCGGGGCCACAGTAGTGACGTCATCCAATGGGCATCGGCAAAGCGCTGCCGGGACGAGGGGGCGGGCGCTGATTGGAGGGCGAGATGTCACTCAGGGGGCGCCATGAACGGATTGGGAGCGAGTCAAGGCCGCCCACCAGTGGTAGCCCCGCCTCCTATGTCATCTGATTGGGTGTGGATCTGCCACTCAACCGCAGAGAGAGTTCTGATAGGGTATTCTGTGGTGGGTGGGGCCAAGAGGTTGCATATAAATGAGACCCGGGGCTGCGAGGAAGCCGTGAGGGTGTCCCCGGTCTGTGGCTGTTGGGGTTCTGGTACTATTCCCTCCGGTGGGGGTCTCTCCATGGTGTCCTGCGCTCTCCTTTTAAAAGCAGTTACGTGTTTAGGGCAGCCTCCCCGCCTTGGCAGCCTCAACAAAGTCCAAGCAGCCACGTGTATTTCTCCAGTGTCTCGGTCAATCCCGGTCCCGGGGCGGGTGACCCAAGCTCCGGGGCTGTGCCCTGTTTCCGTGATCACCGCTGCCGTGGAGGTTTGGATTTTCTCATCTCCCAGTGCAGGTGACCCTGACAGCTCACATGCCATTCTAGTATTTTGAGTTCCCGCCAGTTTCTTTCCACCAATTACTCTAAAAGCCATTTTTTAAACTTATACCAAAATTAGCAGCGGGCTTACCCTGTCTGAAGAAAAGCTGTGGCATGGGAACCTCTTTCCACCTGATCCCCAGCAAACCAGTGGCTGGTTTCCCTGCAGAGCTGGGCTGTACTCGAGCATCCCTTGATGACCTGCCAGCCCCTCAGATCACCTGCCCGTCTCCCTGCCTCTCCTGGGCACAAAACCACTTGTTAATCTCCTTAAACCGAGTGGTGTCTGTCCTGCTTTGTGCTGCTCCTGGCTTTGGAGTGAGGACATCACCTCTGCCTTCCCATGGCTTCTGTCTCGTGCCCCAGCCCACGGGAGATGTCTCTATCCTGACTGGTGGCAGCAGGGCCACCCAGGTGTGAGGTTGATGCTGGCCAGGGCAGGGAGGAGATGATGGGCAGGTGCCTCGACTGGTGTTTGTCAATGGCAGCCTGGGCCCACGGCAGGAGAGAAGAGTTCATGTCCTCAAGCTGTAGTGAGGATGATAATAACACAAATTACTCCAGGCACTCACTGTCCATGCAGTCAGTACTGCCTTTGGCTGCTGTGCCCTTCAGCATGCACCGGAAATCAGATGTCACATCTTCAGGGTACAAATTGGTAGCGTTAGAAGGAGGAGGAGGATGCTCTGCCCTGCCACACCTTGGGGATAATCTCTCTGTCACTCTGCCTGGAGGGATGAGCTCATGGTGTGAGAGCTCCTCTTTTAGAGCTGCTTTCCTTCCAAAGCTGGCACATGTTTATTTTGAACTTAAAATGAGATGACTCTGTTTCCATCCATTTCCAGCATTAACCCTTGAGTTACTATTTTTTCTTTCCTCCCACCTGGCATTTTGCAGCACCATTCTCATCACTGACAAGGGTCATGGACAATGGGAGGCTGCTGGAACAGCACCAGTGTCCAGAGGATCCTGATGTCCCCAACAGATCCAGCAGCAGCTCAAGTGGTGGAGCTGCCACTCTGCTTTTTAGCTTTGTGGAGGGGATGACATGGCTGGAGAGGGCTCAGGCTCTGAACCCAAGCTAGTTGGGGGAGTAATTCAAAACAATTTTAGGAAATTGAAGAAAAAGTCTGAAAATGAATGAAGGATGCAATTCCAGGCACAGGTGCTGCAGTTGGGCAGCAACAATCAGCAGCTCAAGGGGAGCCACTTTCCCAGTGGCTCACAAGCACAGCAGGAATAAGGGTCATGCTGTTGCAGATGAAACAGAGAAACAGACTTTGTACAAACTTGGAATAGAAATGGCTGCTGCATGGTTGTGGAGTGACCTGCTTAACATATCTGCTGTGAACAGGCTGATGTGCTGGATGGGGATGCAGTGGGAGGTGCTCAGTGAGGGAGCTCCTCCTAAGCACCCCAGTCGGATGAAGAGGGGGACTAGGCGCTTCCAACACCTCATCCAGCCCTCAGGATTTGATGTTTCAGACATCAGCTTGAGTCTCCCTTCACGTACTCGGATTTTTCCCTGATATGCTGGTGTTGCCTTGCCAAAGCAGGGGGACCCTACATGCCCCACTCCAGCTGGCCCCTTTCCCCTCCTGCCCTGCAGCATCCCAGAGCTGTGCACTCATGCCCAGGAGGACAGAAAGTTGGCACCCAGGGTTCTTGGCCAGGGCACTGTGGGGCCCTGGGGTGCTGCCACAGGGCTGTTACCCCCCAGGAGAGCTGGCCTGGCCGGGTCCCTACTAATTGCCCTCATCTGGGTATTTTTAGAAGCAAAATGTTGTTTAGCTGTGAGAAGGAGAATGGCAGCCACGGGAGGGGAAGCTGGGAGGCAGCGATAGGGCAGCTCCTTCCGCAGACAGTGCTCGTGCAGCTCCAGCCACTGGGGCCAGACGCCTCTGGGAGTCAGCACTGGGACTCATCCCAACCCGATTCCACTGGGACCCTCTGCTGACTCCAAAGCTCACACCATGAGCCTCCCCACATGGGGCCAGCAGGCACAGTGATGACCTAGGGATCATCACTGCTGCGAGTACCCCCATCCCATCCAGCCCCCCCAGACCCCAGCTGAGCTGCACCCACCCCGACAGGGGCTGGGGGTGCTGGCAGAGGCCAGTGTTCCTTGGCCTCTAGCTCCCAGGCGCCAGCAGCTGTTTTTAGCCCAGAGAAAGTCCAATGTTTTGAGATTTTCTATTTTGAGCAGCGAAGCTGAAGAAATGGAGCAGCCCCTGACCCCCGGGTGTCTGTGCAGAGCGAGGCAGGCAGCCAGGCAGGGTGGGTATGGGGCAGCTTCTGCCCCCCAAGGGGATGTGGTTGCCCCCGGGTCTTCGCCCCACAGCTGCCTCTGTGGCCTCTTGCACGTCAGGCTGTGCTGGAGCCTGTTCCCATGCGATCCCATCTCTGACACTCTCCCAAGGGACAATGGCCTTTCCGGCACTGGGATATCATTCCTCCTTTCCCTCCTGCAGCAAGATCCCAGTACAGCTCCCTAACAGGATGTGGAGTGTTCCACACCAGACCTGCAACCCTTGTACCCCGCTCTGGGTACGTGTGTGCCCTCACAGAGCCCCCATAGCACAGCTGGCATGTTCCCAGAGGGGACAGCCCTGGCAGAGAGGCACAGGGCTTGGACTGGGCTGCTGTGGTGGCACAACCAGCTCAGCCCAGTTCTGGTGATGCTGCCACATGGAGGGTTTTGTCTCCTCACAGCAGCTGGGTCTGTGGATGGGATCCATCCCCTGCACAAGAGAGTGCTGGAGGACACAGACATTCATCTGAGAGTGGGGAGGGCTGGTACTCACTGGAGCTGCTACAGCGGTTGTCACCACCACTGCTGCAAGGCATACGTGTGGGGTGATGCCGGTCACAAAAGGTGCTGGCAGCTGGTGCCACTTTCTGGACTCCCTGAAGGCAGACGCCAGCCCCAGGCACAGGCTTTGGTCTCATTTTATTCAATCCTGCATTTCCAGAAGCACCTCGAGCTTCACACTGGCACTGCCATCCGGGGTCTGTGGTGGCATGAACGCTGAGCAGGCCTGGGAGCCACGTCCCTGGTGTCCCGATGGGTCCCTAAGTGCGGTGCCGGTGTGGGACGGCGAGCAGCCGGCGGAAGGCAGCGCGGAAGTCCCGGTTGAAGAGGGTGTAAATGAGGGGGTTGACGCTGCTGTTGCAGTAGCCGATCCAGAAGAAGAAGTTGAAGAGGGGCTTGGAGATGTGGCAACCCTGCCCACAGAGAGCCCCCAGGCTATAGGTGAAGAAGAAGGGGAACCAGCAGAGCACGAAAGCGCCCATCACCACAGCCAGCACAACAGTGAAGCGCCGCTCCCGTGCACGCACCAGCCGCCGGCGGCACAGCAACACGCTCTGGTGCTGGCTCCGGTGCCGCCATCCCGGCATCCCAACTCCTGACACCTTTGCATCACCGCTGGCAGGGTGTGGGGAGCGGGCAGCGAGCAGGGCAGCTGTCCGCCGGGCGGTCAGGCGGTAGATGCGGCAGTAGACAGCCACCATGACGAGGCAGGGGATGAAGAAGGAGGCGGCGCAGGAGGCCAGCACGTACCAGGTCTCCTGGCTCAGCTGGCACTCCCGCCCGCCTGGCCGTGGCCGCAGGAGCGGTGGCAGTGCCACCAGGGCCGCAGCTGCCCAGACTGCCCCGATCATGCCCTTGACCCGCCGCGGGCTGCGGCGCAGGTTGAGCCGTGCCGCCCGTGTGACGGCCCAGTAGCGGTCGAGGCTGATGGCACAGAGGTGCCCGATGGATGCAGTGCAGAGCAGCACGTCCAGCGCCAGGTACAGGCTGCACCACAGCCCACCAAAATACCAGTAGCCCATCACCTCGTTGGCCAGAGAGAAGGGCAGGACGAGGATGGCCACCAGGATGTCTGCTGAGGCCAGGGACACAAGGAAGAGGTTCTGTGGGGCTTGCAGTGCCCGGCTGGTGGAGATGGCCACCACCACCAGAGCGTTGCCCACCAGTGTGGCCAGCAGGACGGACAGGGCAGCCAGCAGGATGAGCCCCGTGGCTGCGGGTGAGTGTGGGGCGCTGCTGGTGCCGCTGCTGTTACCGGAGGTGTTGGGAAGGGCGCTGGCTGGCTCCATGCTGGCCCGGCCCCTCAAGCAGATGAAGCCCCATGGGGCTTTCCCCCACCCTGCTCACCGGTCCGAAGCGGCTGCGGGTGCAGCCCCAGCATCGCTGAGTCCCTGGGGGGTTCTCCCGGCTGCCACCACTCCTGCACTGACCCGGTCTGGTGGCGAGGTCGTCCTGACCCAGTGGTTGCCCGGCTGGGCATGCGGGACAGCGGCGGTGCAGGGAACACAGAGAGGCTCCCACGGCAGCGCTGCTGGCTCTGCTGGTCCCAGTCCGGAGGAGGGCGGGCGGGAAGGAGGGAGGGAGGGAGGGAAGGGTGGGCCAATATCACTGGCAGGAACCCAAACATCTGTGGGCAGTGGGAGAAGCTGTTATTGCCACTTAAAGGGCTACTTTCAGGGTCACCATGGCAGGAGGGCTCCAGCCACGGGTGCCAGGGTGCTTGGTGGTGCAGGGGCATTGCCCAGCCATGCCGAGTCATCATCCTGCTGATCCCAGCCCAGCAGCAGCTCAGGACCTTGCTTGGCTGCCCCGTGCTGTGTCTCACTCACTGATATGCTGCTGTGGCACACGTGGGGCACCATGGACCCTGTCAGCTCAGCCCTTTGGGGACGAGGCAGGGGGAAGAAGATGCTGCCTGTGACAGTTCAGTAGGGGCGGCTACAGACCTCGGGGTTTAGCTGTGGCATCATCACCATGTGCCCCACAGCACGAGCCGAGTGTTTGGTGTGTCCCCAGCACCAGCTGGGCTGAGCAATGATGATGTGTGGGAAACGGGGAGCATGGTGGATATGAGGTACCTGTGGCAGCAGGGCTTGCAGAGGGAGGACCGAAAGAGACACACACAGGGGCATGGGCGCACCCTCTTTATTAGACACCAGCTGAGCAGGGATGGTGGACACCAGCGGCCACAGGAGCATCATTGGTGTGCATTGCCAGCTAGAGCCGTGTGGCACCGTGTGGGAGCGGGCGAGGGGACCCCACCCGCATGGTGGGGCTGGGCATCTCCTCGGGGTAGGAGAGGGCAGGGTTGTCCAGCCCCAGCCTGGCCTTGTCGCGGGGAGCCCCCTCGTGCTCCTCCCAGCCCTCGGGGCTGCGGCAGCGGTCGGTGCAGCACAGGGTGACCTGGGTGATGACGCGGTCCAGGGGCTGCAGCGAGTGCATCCAGGCGGGGAGGAAATCCCAGGTCTGCAGCCACTTGGGCAGGCGCCCGGGGCTGTGTGCCTGCAGCGCATTCACCAGCCCCACGAAGAAGAGGAGGCCGAGGAAGGGCGCGCCCACCCCCACCAGCGCTCGCCAGCCCGCCATGGAGATGCCGAAGATGAGGGAGGGCAGCAGGAGGAAGCAGACGATGAGGTACAGCACGGCAAACCAGCGGTACTTGGCTGTGCGCTCGCCCAGCGCCTTGGCCATGCGGATGGGCAGGCGGGTGAAGGGCAGTGGGTACCACAGCAGGATGCCCGAGATGTTGAAGAAGAAGTGGCACAGAGCAATCTGCGAGGATGGCATCCTCATCAGGCTGGGCACGTGGGTTTCCCCCAGCTCCTGCTGTGCCTGGTGACCCCATCCAGCCCAGTCGTGGCTCCGGGCTGACTGTACCTGGAAGGAGCTGGCCAACTTGTCCCCCGGGCTGGCCAGGGCAGCCAGGATGGCAGTGGTGGTGGTGCCAATGTTAGAGCCCAGGGTCAGTGGGTAGGCACGCTCAATGCTGATCACCCCCAGGCCTGTAGGAGAAGCACTCTGTCCATCCCATCGTTCCTGGCAGTACCATCCCCATGCCCTCCCAAGGAGGCACAGCTTCTTTTGTCCCTCTGCTTTAGCACCCACAGGCCAGGGGATGGCACATGTCAAGGGATGAGGAATGGCTGGGACTCACCAATCAGGGGTGTGATAGCCGAGGTGAAGACAGAGCTGCTCTGCACCACGAAGGTCATCCCAGCACCCACCACCATGGCGAAGTACCCGGTGAGCCAGCTGAGCGGGTGTGGGAGGTCTGCCACAGCATGGCCACGGACACAAACAGGGACATGGGCATGGACACGTCAGAGTTGGGTGTCAGAGGTAGCCAGGGACAGGTCTGAGGATGGCAGGTGGAGATGGGCATGGGTGGCCATGTGGCATGTGGTCCCCATCCTACTCACCAGTGTTGATGACCTTCTGGATGGCTTTGGCCACCTGCCCCTTGAGCAGGGAGTTGAGGAGTTTGACCAGGAGGATGAGGCAGGTGCAGAGCACGACAAGGGACCCGGCCAGCAGCACCAGCCCCACGGCCAGGTCAGGCAGTGGTGTGTCGGTGAAGAGGTGCTCACCTGCCCCACAGCACGGCTGGGCAAGGGGCTGGGGCTGGCCCGGCCCTGCTCACAAACCTGCCCCACAGACAACCCCACACCTGGACCCCAGTGCAACATCTCCCAGCCTTACCCCACATCAGGACTCCAGCACTTCTCCATCACAGGTACAACCCCCAGCCCCACTTGCACCTCCCCCAGCCCCATGCCCCAGCCCTGCCCAAGCCCTCTACATCCACTCACACTTCTGCCTGGTGACGTTGTGGAGGATCTCGACGCCCTTAGTGCTGCAGTGCCCGGGGGATGTGCAGTTTGAGGGGGGCCCGAGCCCCACAGTGGCCATCTGCAGGGAGAAGGTGGGCTACAGCTGGCTCTACAGTGTCCTCAGCCGGCCCTTGCCCACCACTCATCCTCTGTGGGATTGTTTGGTGGCCCCAGCAGGGCCCTGGACCCCTCACCTGTGGGGATGCAGGGCCACACCAGACACGGATGAGGCTCCGGTTGCGCAGGCTCTCGTCCCCTGTTGCAATGCCCGTGATCACAGACTTGTCCAGCTGCAACAACACACATGTTGGAGAGGGCACCTGGGGGCTAGCAGTGCCCACAGGCTGGGGACATCTTCACTGGCATAGGGACACCACTGCCAGCCTTGGGACACTTGGATACAACCACCATCAAAGGGACACAATGCTGGAGACATCACCAACAGCCTGGGGCATACCACACTGGCAAACATAACAGCTGAGGAGACCTGGATGATGAGCTTGGTGAAGGGCTCTGTGATGATCTTCAGTAGGTCGGGGGCATCTTTCCCACTGCGGATGTTGAAGGTGGCCACAACCAGGCGGGTGACGTGGTGCAGGTACCCACTCACCACTTCCAGCGGCAGCAGCACCAGCACTGACAGCCAGTTGAAGCAGTCGTGCACCGTGGCACCGGCGAAGGCCCTGTGCAGAATGAAGGAGCCTGTTGGCATGAGGTGGTCCTGAGGAGCAGCCCCCAGCCCCGAAGGCCCTGTGCAGAATGAAGGAGCCTGTTGGCATGAGGTGGTCCTGAGGAGCAGCCCCCAGCCCCAAAAGTGTCCTCTGAGCCATCCAGCTCTCACCGTTTGAACTCACTGCGGTCACCAGCCTGCATGAGGGCCACGATGGTGTTGGTGACCGAGGTGCCGATGTTGGAGCCCATGATGATGGGGATGGCAGAGCGCACCTCCAGCACTGGGGACAGAGAAACCTGCTAGCCTTGCATGGCCCAGCTCAAGGTGACCCCATCCAGCCATCCTCTCCCTCAGCCTCAGGTCCCCAGGAGCCTCATGGGCACACTCACACCCTGAGGAGACCATGCTGACGATGATGGAGGTGGAGGTGGAAGAGCTCTGCACCAGCACGGTCACGAGGATGCCCACCACCAACCCAGCCACTGGATTGGAGAGGATGGCGTTGTCCTTGAAGATGTCCCCCGCCACCTTGCCTGTAAGAGAATGTGAGTGCAGGCTGCTGGCACTGCCAGTGCCACCAGTTTCCCAGGCATCCCTGCAACCCTACTACCTCCAGCCAGCTGGAAGGCAGAGCTGAGCACGTCCAGAGAGCATACGAAGAGGTACAGGAACCCAAACATCAGGGGCACCTTTAGAAGGGAGACACAGAAGGACTGGACCCTGGCCCAGCACCCGAGCTCTGTGCAAGACAAGAGAGAGTGTTAAACTCCTGCTGTGGCATGGCCCTGGCTCCCCAGACTTCTACAGCCTTATGCCACTCTCATGGCTCCTGGCAGCACAGGGCTTATGTCCCCATCTATGCCACCAGTCCTAGGGTCCCTTCCTTCCATCTCTTCCCACCTTGGAGTGCCTTGTGCCATCCGCCCCATTGTCCCTCAGCTCTTCCCACGTCACCCCAGGATGCTGAGGGTCTCTCTACCGGCACTCCCTTCCCACCCTGGCACCCGACAGTCCTGGCACCCCAAGTGCCCCAGGTGCCAGTGTCAGGTCTCTGGGGTGTTCCCCAGCCCAAGTGCAGTGAGACCCCTACCACCCATGGGGTGTCACCTGGCCTCTGCAGCTCGTCCAAGCCAAGTCGGTGCCCCTGCCAGGACAGCGCGTCCAGCTCGTAGCGCTCCCGGCCCTCGGGCAGGCGGCCCGGGGAGCCAGGGCAGGGGAAGCCATGGTCAGGGCAAGGCACAGCACTGACAGTGAAAGGGCAGGTGTGGGCACCTGGCAGCCGGTGCAGAGCTGGGGAGAGAGGACACCTATGTTACAGCCCTGTCCTTGCAGGGACCTCCCTGCAGAGGAGAGCCTAGCGCTGCCAGGAGCAGAGCTGAGCCAGGCGAGGAAGAGGAGGAGGAGGAGGGATGGGGGCACCTACCTTGGGGGCTGGGGCAGTAGGCAAACTGTGGCCCGTGCACAACTCTTCCTCCCCGCACCGGGCAGCGACCAGGCAGGACCGGGCTCTCCGTCCGGTAAGGCAGCATCGCTCCTGCTGAGGCTGAGCAGAGGTGGCTGTGTGTCACCACAGCTGTGCTGCACCCACTGCTACGTCCCCCCGAATCTCTGCAGCGCTGGCACCACTGAGGAGCACCATCCCATCATCTGTTGGTCCCCTGGGCCACCAGCTGCTGCTGTGCCACCCCAGCGAGCTCCCAAAGGACAGGCAGGGCAGGCAGGGCAGGCAGGAAGGGGACTCCTCCTGCCCAGGGCCCAGCTCACCTGGGGCTGGCCGGGCACTCAG